GGGCTCCACCTCAGACCCCCAGGGAAATGCAAAGGTGCCGCACAGAAGAACTTTATGCTCCTTAGAAGCACAATCTGCGTTGTCTGGGTCTGACCCAGGCCTCGGGAGACTGAGAACTTCAGGATGAGCTAGCGGAGGACAAACCGAGGGGAATGCAGAGGTGAAGACAGTGGCTGGCTGGGACTCGTGACAGGAAGCCCCTGAACTCCTCCCTCCAGTGCCCCTGAGGTGGGCGTGTTGGCTTTAAGGGTGGGGAGCAGGCAAAGCCTAGAGGGTGGGTGGCCCCTTGGGTCTCAGACGGCCACCCCGGCAAGCATCAGACCCATCTGCTTCCAACTGCAGTTGGGGCTGGAATCCCTTGCCTCTTTGTGCAACCTATTTAATCAAGATCACTTTATCTACTCAACACTTGGTGACCAAACTATGTTGGCTTCTCAAGGTGCCCCACGGAGTTTTACAGCCCGGGGCCTGAGGCTACCAAGCGTCACTGGTCACTGGTTTCCACCTCCAGGCAGCTTCCGCGGCAGAAGCATGGAATCTCCCTCCCTGTAACATCCCTCCCCGGTGGGCATCCGGCCCCCGCCACCACCAGAGATCTGCCAGGGCAGGGCTGGCCCCTCCTGTGCTAGACAGCTCCAGCTGTGGACCCGCATCTGCCTCCAGGGATGGCCGAGGGGCCTCAGCTCTCCTCTAGAGCCACACAGAAAAGCCTCAAATGTGTACCACCCTGCAAATTTTGCAGATGGCCCCTCAGCTCCCCTGGGTGTCCCCTGGCAGCTGTGGGCCTCACTGAACAGTCTGTGTCATCCATGGAGGTGCCCAACTGAGGTGTCCCCCTCCTGCCCGCAGACCCCGCGAGTAGGGGTCCCTCATTTTCCACACCCTACTCTCAAAACATCTTGGGAGATTTTTATGCCTTTTTATTTATTTATTTTTTAAGTTTACTCCCTTTTGAAAGAGACAGACAGTGACTGAGCGAGCAGGGGACGGGCAGACACAGGAGACACAGAATCCGAAGCAGGCTCCAGGCCCCAAGCTGTCAGCACGGAGCGCTCCATGCGGGGCTCGAGCCTACAAACCCTGAGATCATGACGTGGGTCGAAGTCAGATGCTTAACTGACTGAGCCACCCAGGCGCTCAACTGGATGCCTTTTTAAAGCCCCCAACCCAGTGCTCTGCTAGGTCTGCGGGGGAGGCTGGCGGCTTCCACGTGCCCCGACACCCCACATATGTAACATCTCACTTGTTGGGGAGGTCGGCTCCAGACCTCCTCCTTTGTGCACGGAGATGTGCCAGCGAGAGAAATCACAGCCTCACAGCCTGCGCGACTGAATTCCTTTCCTTTAACTAGCGGCCCAGTGCCTCTCGGAAACAGACGGGGGCTGGGAGCTCGGAGTCTCTGCTGCACTTACCCGGGCGGGAGGGAAATATTTATGCACCAGTGCGGCATTAGCTGCTTTCAGAGACCTCCTTTGAACTGTTAATCAAGCCCAATCTTTCAGAAGAATAGCCTGATTATTACCGCCCTGTTTGCATAACAAAGAAGCCCAATAAAACTTATTTCACTGTGCACCGAGGGGGTGTGAAGGATCGCCCTGAGAAGCGAGTCTCAGGAATGCGGCGAGCCGCTCCGCGGCCCGAACCCAGGAATAAAGACAATGCAATTTGCCACCAAGAAAAGCCCAACAGACCAATAAATTACCCGCGTGCAAAGGGATTAGATCAGGTTTCAGTTGCTGTGCAGGAGGAGGGGCGGGGTGAGCCGGGAAAGGGGGAAACCTGCCTCCTCTTAAAGGGGTAAGGCTCGTTTTGAACACACGCCCCACGGTCAAGTTGGTTCTGTCCCACTCGGTGGCTGGCATGGCACCTGCCTGCCTGGAGTCATTTACTTGCTGGAAGTTCTAGACCCTACCCTGGGCTTCACGCTGTTCCTGCAACAAGCCTCAGGTGGTTTCTCTGCTCAGGTGGAGGCGGCTAGCAAACTTCTGGAATGCGGAGCCAACACGTTGCATCTGAATACTGAGTCACAAGGAAGATGTAAGGGTGGAGGCACGAGAGGGGACCAGGGGCAGTTCAGCCAGGTCTCGGAGGGCCGGTGGGATTTGCCAGCTGAGGCGAGACAGAGATGCGGAAGCACAGGGGCCTCCGAAACGGCTGAGGTTGGCTGGAGGGGACACGCTGCTTGCATGCTGGTAGCCAATGTCGCTCAGCTCCAAAGTGCTTTCCTCCACTGTGGGGAGGTGGGGGGGAGGACGGGAGGGACTTCAAACCCCTTTCCTCTGGTCCCCCAGCTCTGTTAGACTCCACCACAAGGGGGCGCTGTCCCCAGGCTGTTTCCATCACTGTGCTTTCAAAGTACCCTCCTCTAAAGACCTGGCCCCCAGCTTCTCTCTTCCTTTTGCCTCCCAAGCGAAGCCGCTTCCTACAATGTGTGTGTCCCTCTGTGGTCCCCGGTGGCCCTTCCGGTGCTCCCACAAACGCCCAACAATCCCCTACATGAAGGTCCCTCCGTGGAAATACCCCATGCGGTTTTGTTGTCCTGACTGGACCCTGACCTACCAGCCTAAGGATTTCAGACTAGATGCAGTTGATGGTAGGGAGCCCCGCGATAATTTCCAGGAAGTGCATGGCGTGATCACGATACTATTTTAGGAGGTGGTGGCTTTAGTCCGGGTAGAAGCAGGCAGAGCACAGAATGAGCAGTCACTGATCAACCTCTGTGCCAAGGTCAGCACTGAAGCCCGAGACCTCCTGTTCCTGTCCCCACGGCCTGTCTCACATCCATCCTGGACAGCAGAGGCCCTGGGGCTCCCCTCTCTTGTCATCAAGCTGTGACAGGGGGTCCTGAAGGAGGAGGGGAGGGCAGCACCAAACCAGGAGCGCCAGCCTGCCTGCACTCAGCATGGGGACAGTTGGCCACTCCCCACCCACTTGGGGGAATCAAGGAGGGGGACGCGATCAGATCTAGCGCCAACATGTGGCAAACTCTGGCCTGCGCGGTATTCTGGAGTCTTCCTGAGTTAAGAGATGCCTAAAGCTGGGCAGCTGGGTGGCTCGGTGGGTCAATCGAGTGTCCGACTTCCACTCAGGAAGTTTGTGAGTCCGAGTCAGCTTTGGTTCCTCTGTCTCCCTCTCTCTGCCCCTCCCCCACAGGCGCTCTCCCAAACATAAATAAATGTTTTACTTTGTTTTTTTAAAGACAGAGATGTCTAACGCTGCCTGTTCGTGTCACTCCTGCAGGAAGCGCTCCTGGTGCCAGGTGTTTGACATCAGATTCCTACAGGAACACAGCCTGGTGACAGACTGAAGATTTTGTCAGCTACAGCAGAATTCACCTCACTTAACCTGCACGAAGTCAGAAGTGATCATCCTTCCTAAAAAAAGCATTCCTCCCTATGCAGCCCAAGGTGGTTTGGGGGGAACCGGCCTAGCCTGTGAGTCCCTCAAAGGAGCTGGGACTTGTCCGGAAACCCCGTTGTCCGGGAACTGGCCTACAGGATAAAGAACCAGGCAAGAGGGAGGTTCTCAGAGAGTCTCGACTGCTCTAGGAAGGGGAGGTGGGGAGGCCAGGGAGCTGGGGGTTAACTCACTGTCCAGTGTGGGAAGAGGTGGCCGAATGCCACCTACTGAGCTGAGGCAGGAGGCACTGCCCCTTGTCACACTTGTCACACTCTGCCAGGGCTGCTCTGCCCCAGCCATCACACACGCCAAGTTGCTACAAGAAACCACACCGAGTGCCAAGGAAAAGGGCACACTGCAGCTTTCCAAACTGGGCACCCTCCCCTGACTCCCACTGGGGCCACATGGAACCAGACCAATGGCAGACAGGACATTCAGAAGCACCTGTGTTCACCAAGGCCACAAGCAGGCCTGTCAAATCAGGTGGCTGAGGGCTTCTGGGTAAAAGGGAGCCCTGATGGGGGCGCCTGGGTGGCTCAGCTGGTTAAGCGTCTGACTCTTGATTACGGCTCAGGTTCGTGGGTATCTCATGGTTCGTGGGTTCGAGCCCCACCTGGGGCTTGGCACTGGCATCGTGGAGCCTGCTTGGGATCATCTGTCTCCTTCTTTCTCTCTCAAAATAAACAACAATGACAACAAAAACTTAGAAGAGGGACCCATGATGACCAAGGGCTGAGCCGGGCGCAAGATTCCAGGCCAATACCATCTTGTCTTAGGGCACAGAACGAAGCTACTCCAGGTTCCACAAGCAGAGTGTTTACGGGCAAAGACATCACTTTCCAGATATCAATGAAGCTTTCAGGTGAGCAATGTGTTCTTCCCGCTTGGAGGCATAACCCCTTTTCCCGAGTCCAGGGCTGGCTCTAGAAATGATAATTTTCCATCCTGGCTCTGCCTCCAGCAACCCTCGGCTCATCTGCTTGGCCGCTCCACGTCTAGATTCATTTGAAGTGGCTTTTTCTCCCTCACCGCCATCCGCAGGCGGGCCTCCCTCCTCCACCTTCCTCATGCAGTGGGAGGGCAAATGCATGCCAGCTGGGCACACGCCCGGCTGGCGCACACGTGTGTGAGCCTGTGTTCATGGGACATTCCTTAGCATGCGAACCAATAATGGGCTCCTTTCTGCGGGGACCTGGGTGCAGACGGATCACTTTAATAGGCGTCTCGGTATTTCGACTGCTCGGGTGAAATGGTGCATGAAATGAATAAATAAGCAAAACCCAAAAGACATAAATCTGACTTGGGAAAATTTGCACAATGACAGCCCTTGCCAACTTCTTTGCCTGACCTATGGCTGGGTGGCATCTTCTTTGAAATGTTAAGCCAGGGACAGACAGGGAGCAGAGAGGGCCTTTGGGAGGAGGCAAAAAAAAAAAAAAAACAACAAAAAACCAAAACCACCCCAAAAAACCGCTAGGTCCACAGAATCCGTGGTCAGCTTTTCACTCTGCTATCTAATACCTCCAAATTTGGGGTGTTATTTCCCCCCGCCACCTTGAAGCCTCAAAGGCTGTACAGCACAAACTCGAATATGCTCCGAAGCAAATCTAAGGAGTATGTTTATTCACAATACGGGACATGGAAAAGGGTCGGGGGTCTGTGTTCTACTCCCGGCTTGGTCACCGGCTAGCTGTGTAATGTCAGGCAACCTCTGTGACCCTCTGTTTCCTCTTCGGTACTTTCTCTTCCGTGAGGAAGGTGTGGTGATCTCGCGAGGTGTTGTACTCAAAGCGTTTGGCCGAGTGCCCAGGATACTGTGGCCGCTCAATAAACGAGGAGAGCTTTAAAAATGATTGTCCTCCTTCAAACGATCATACTTTGGAGAGCACAGTAGAAGGTATTACGTCCCAAAGGATGTTCATAATCTTAAGTAGTGATGTGATAGGTTGTCTGTGGGAGGTCGGCATTTGGGTTATTCTCACGTACTTATTTGCCCTTTATGGTTTTTAGCTTTGAAAATGAGTATTGCTTTTATAACCCCGAAAAAATTATCTTAGAAAAAAGGTTGGGGAATCTGGGGGAAAAAAAGCCTGTGGTCTCTGTCTCTTGAGAAAACACGTAACAGAAATGCAAAGAGACCCAAGGGCCCTCCAATTCCCAGGATGCTGCTGGGTGCGTTCAGTGTGTCCAGAAAGGAGAAGGGGGTAAAGGAACAGAAAATGCGGTTCTGCCCTTATAGACAGAACTGGTGATTTAGAAGAGAGCAAAACCCCGAGACCTGTGAAGCAGCGAAACTGGGAGGAAGCACAGGAGTCTGCAGCCAAGGAGACAGGCGTCTAGGTCACTGGAGGGATGGCCCTGGACCCCAACAGACAGCACTGAACTTGGGCCTTGATTAGGTGGGCAGCGGCATTGGGCAAGGAAGGCCTGGGAAGGTGGGTGGGTGGTGGTGGAGGAGGGGGGCAGGCAGGGGTGACCTGGAGCCTCGGGATGTTCCAGAAGCCATGCAAATGAGGCCCGGGAAAAGTGTGGGGCCAGAAATCAGAGGGTCCTCCCTTTTGGATGCTTCAGAGGGCTACGAGGAGGGATGAGTTCCTGAGCAGGACTTTTGTTCTAAAAGGGGGGTTTGGGGGGGGGGGGGTGCCCAGAGGAAGGTCCTAGGGCTGGTCAGCTGTTTGTAGCAAGGTGGCAACGGTAACAGGCAGGAAAAGGTGGAGGAAGGAGGCCCAGCCCCAAGCAACTGCATTGAATGGAGAGGCCCATCGGACATTCAGGGCTTCACCGTTCTGGGCAGCGGGCTCCTTAACGGACTCAAACCAGGCACTAGTCCCGGGGGGCAGGTGGGGGGAGGAGTGGAGGGTGACCAAGCATCTGGGTGTGCCTAGGACTGGGAGGGTTGCTAAGGACTCGGGACTTTCAGCTTTAAACCTGTAAGAGTCCAGGGGGAGATACTAGATGAGCTGGTCGCCCTAGAAGAAACAGCGCCTGCAGTTTTAGGCAGGTTGAATTCAGCCAAGCAGGAAAACAGCACGGTAGCTAACCACTCAACCAGAGCACAAAGCTGGGGTTCTCAGCCCAGTTCTGTCCAGGGCCTTGCACATTTCACTCAAGAGAGGGTTTGGCACAGGAACCACACGTCGCCCCCAACACATAAACTGGCCCCACCCCATCCTCTTACCTCCACAGGGTCCTGGGGCCCCGTCTTCCCCACCTCCCGGAGCATCCTTATCTGAGCCTGTCCCCACCTGTCCTCTGAGATGGGGGCGATCGCTAGCAATGACTGGAACCCTGCAGGCAGGCTTCCCTTCTTCAACCACAAGACCACCTCCTCACCTCAGGGGTTAGGGGGCAAATGGTCCATAGGACTCTCCGTCTCACTCTGCCCGGAAGCCAACGCTCTTCCCTGCAGACCTCTTAGCTGCTAGCTGGCTCAGCTGTCATCTGGCTCTTGCAACCAGACATCACTTCATTCTCTGCCTCTGGGACACGAAGTCCCACTGGGAAGACAAAAATGTGGTACGCAAATTGACTTGCTTGCACATTTCTGAACAGCGGCGCTGGCGGAACTATTGTCATCTCTATAATGACAGAGATGCACTTGGACATAGCAGAGAGACTTGGTCTCCCCAAGCTGGAGTTTCTCCCCTGAGGATTAACATTTCTGGGACGGGTGCAATTGAGAAGTAAAGAGAAAGCAACGATGGAAAGAGAAAGGCCGCGGGGCAATAATTCTTATAACAGCAGCCCTCACACCTGAGTGTGCATCAGAACCCCCTAGCGGGCCTGCTGAAGTACAGAACCAGGGTCCCACCCCCGGAGCATGGCTTCAGTGAGCCTGGGGAGGAGGAGCCTCCCGCGGGAGGCTGATGCTGCTGGAGGAGGGACCAGACTTTAGGAACCACTGTGCTCGGAGTACAGCATCCACATGAAATTAACGGGAAGCATGCCAGCGTATCTACAACATAGGTCTTTGATGGGTTTCTCTTGGAAATCTGACGGGCGCCTGGGTGGCTCAGAGGGTTAAGCGTCTGACTGCGGCTCAGGTCATGATCTAGTTAGTGTTCCTGGGTTCGAGCCCTGCGTTAGGCTCTGTGCTGACCACTCTGGAGCCTGCTTTGGATTCTGTGTCTCCCTCTCTTTCTGCCCCTCCCCTGCTTGTGTGCGCTCTCTCTCTCTCAAAAATTAACATTAAAAAATTAAAAAAAGAAATCTGTTGTATTAAGTCACAAAGCTTTCAAGGTCTAGGAATAAGAAGGATCTATTAATTGGGTCTTGAACAAGCTGTTATTTGTGGAAGATTCCTCCCGAGAAGGCTTTTTTTGGGCCTCCTCCTTCCCGCCCCACTCCTTGCCGCAGCTAGACGAGGCCACCGGTCCATCCATTGTGGGCACGGCATCGTCCAAGCGCACGCCCTTAGCGCCCAAGGGACACTGCAGACCCCTCACCCTTTAGGAGTTGGGGGTTCTGCCGGCCCTGCATGGAGGAGGGCCCCGACTGCCGTCACTGAGTCTGGGACACAGCAGGTATGTCACACCCACTGGGTAAGTCCACGTGAACACTCTCAAAAGACACAAACCCTCTCAGTCCACGGAGGTGAAGGCATCTTTCTCCACATAACTACGTCCAATTTGAGTTGCACTCCTATGGGTTTGCTCCTGGCAGTCATTCAAGTTCACCAGCCCTGCACAAGCCTATGCTTTCACGTGGCAGCTCGAGCTGGATTCCACCTGCCTTCAGTGGGCAGCACGCAGGGCCCCTGGGGGTCTCTGTGCCTGCACTGGCCAAGGCTTTGTGTTTTCCCCAGCACCCACCAGGCCCTCCCTGCCCTGATCTCTGCCACACCTGCAGTGTTTCTGACTTTCTTCCAAAGCAGTCCCTCTGTCGTTGGGTCAAAGACTAGGACAGTCCATCTCTTCGTTGCGAAAATGACCCATTTGATCTCTTACTTAGGAAACGGTGTTCTGACCCAGGTTTCTTGAGCATACAAGTTTCTGGAGCCCCCGGTGCATTTGGTTTGGGGAGGCCTGGAAGCTGTTTTCAGTAAGGTGGGCAATTTTGACTAAAGGCAGCTGTCAAGTCCTCAAATTAGAAGAAATGGGAGCCAGCTGGCATGACAGGGCAACAGCTATCTGTTCTATCTGCCAGGTTTTAGTTACCAGCCTTGAAGCCAAAAAAGAAATGGGCTTCTAGGAAACAAAAGTGATGGAATTCGCATTCTGAATTCTATAACCCACCAGCTTTGCTCTGACTGGGGGCGGCGGCGGGGGGGGGGATACTTTAAAATAAAGGTTTTGAGCTGGAGATGTGAAAGCAGCAACAAAAACACCACCACCGGGGTGCTGGCAGCCTCCGGACTCCTGAGTACCTCCCACCAGCCCTCCCTTTCCTCTCCCCAATTCAAGAAGTTAACAAGTTCTGCCCCTTTAAGAGCGGGAAGGTGTTGTTTTAAGGGCCTCTAAGCCCCCCTTCTCAATTTCAGCTCGGAGCTGAGATCACATCCCCCAAGGCAGCCAAGGGACAAAAGCTATTTATCAACCCATCTGATAAAACTTCCAACGGGCTGGATCTTTATCTGGACCAAACCGAGATGCACACGCATTGCAAAGTCCTGCTTCTCCAGAAGGTGCATTTCTTTTTAAAGATGACGGTCCTATTTATTAAATAAATATCCTATTTATTTATATTATTTATTTATTTATTTATTTTTTCAGTTTTGGTAAGGGAACCAAATCAGCCTTTCAGCCAAGCCTTTCTGTGCATGGGGAAACTGCCTTTTAAAAGGTGTGTGTGTGTGAAGGAGTAGGCCACCCGGCTGCTGGACTCACTACAGAGGTGTTAACATACCGGGGCGGGGGGGGGGCCCTTGGGGCAACTGACACCCCCCATCTTGTCCTCAGCCGGGGCCTCCCCGGTGGAATCCACAGCTGGGAGCAGGTTGAGGCTGTCCGGGACGCCCTTGGGGCGCGGGCAGCTGCTGAGTGAGTTGGGCGCGCTGGACTGGGTTGGCGCGGGAGGCCCCGAAGCGGGGCTGGGGCGAGAAGGTAAACTGATCCTTTGGCCCTTACCGCTGCCAGCACTGTCCGCCCGTCCGCCCGCGCGCCCGCAGCCCCAACTTGCAGCCAGGCCGAGCCCGGACTGCCCAGTTCCGCCAGTTCCTGAAACCCAGTTGGCTGGGGAGCAAAACAAAACAACCCAATCCCAGGCTAACTGAAATCCTTTCTTGCAAAGAGGTCGGTGGTGCGCGGGGGCTGCGGATCCGCGTCGGGGCCGAAAAGACACCTCTGCGCCCCGCAACACGATGGACGCGGCCGGCAGATCCCGCCTTGCAAAAGGGGGCCATGTGGGCCGTGACACTGGGTTTATTTGTATTTTTAGCAAGAGAAAAGTGGGTATAGAGGGTTTAACTGGCGTTTCCAGGCTGTGAGTAGCATATGGCCAAAATGAAATAAAGTTTTATGAAACATTTTAAAGAAAACAGACCGGGGATTTAAGTTTCGTGCCTTCCCCCTCCCCCCGAAAGGGGGGGAGGGAAAAAAAGTAAAGAAACTGGAGCGTTTGGGAAGGAACAAATGCTTCTCTGTGGAGTTGGTCTCCCTTCCCCCAACAAAAACAAGAGGTCCGGGCTCGGAGGAATTTGAAAGCAGCGATCTGCCAAAAACATTGTGAAAAACTATGGGGGATTCATTGGAAACAGATGGCTTTTTCAGCTTTAATTCTGAAATTCTCTCCCTTTCTGACACAATAAAAACAAACAGGGGGCGACGCGGAATGTTATCAAACAGGAACCCGGGCTCGCGGGAGCCCAGGCCGTGGGCATCCCCGCGTGGGCCGGCGCGTGGGGGCGGGACGGCGTCCCGGACGAGGGGGCGGCCGGGGACTCGCCTGGGACCTCCGGGGCGGCCCCGGCTCCACCCCTGGGCACACGGCAGGTCTGCACACTGGTGGGCGAGCAGCGGGAGAAAGTGCCCCCTGCTGCGAGGCGGTGCTCCCCAGCCCACCCCACCCCTCCTTCGGGACCCCTAAGGGGCGCGTCCCCGGCACCCCCTCTCCCGCAAGGAGGGAGGCGCCCCCGGCCTCTGCGACCTCCCGGCTCCCTCTCACTGCAGCCGGGGCGGGGGCCTGCCACCTCCCCGGTCCCCTCGGGGGTGCATCGCGCCCTCGGCGGGGCGCGGGGGAAACAAAGACCAGTGGAGACGGGAGGCGGGGGTCCCGGGGGCGCCGGCGGATTTCAGCTCCGGCTGGCTCCCGGACGCGGGGCCGAGCGCAGCGACGAGGCCCGGGGAGCGGGCCCGGCCGGCCATCCTCGCGCCGGGGGCAGTGCCTTACCTGCGGGGAAGCTGCAGAGAAGGAAGGCGAGGGTCGGCCAGAATCCCAGGGCTGAACGTCCTGCCCCTCTCCCCATACCCATCCATCCAGCTCGGCCTGTTACCACTAGCCTCTCCCTGGAAGAAGAGTTTAGAAGAAAAGAAGAGGAAAATCAATCACGCTGCGGAGAAAGGGCAGCCTCGCTCCGCCGGCGGGAGCAGCGAGCCGGGAGGCTCGGTCCCCCTCGGCCGCGGGCGCCCGGCGCGCCCCCCCCTCCCCGCGCGCCCCTCCCTCGCCCTCCCTCCCCCC